TAAAATAGATTTTTTTTGCCATCTGAAACAATCTTTAGAAATTCTTTAGTAATAAAGGCATTACAGAAAAGAACACAGAATCGCTATGAGGGAAGCACTATTATTCAATGGCTGTCAAAGTTTCCAGGAATCCGAGTGCCTCTGTCCTTATCTGGTGCTGCCAGTGAGCTACTGTGCAAACAAACACGAGTCATTTCCCTTCTTTATGCCTAATTTTTTTCTGTCTATGCAATGAAGATGAACTACTTTGCATAACAAATACCACTGAGATCTAAGGACAACAAATATCCATACAACAGATCAACTATTATTATTTCAAAAGTAATATAATATGTTTGCATCCCTATGCCTGGGGTTTTTCTATATTTAGGCAGTCTGTATGATACTTGATTTTATACTATATTGAATGAAGGTTACATAGAGATAGCTACTGAATTTATGATCAATAGAAAATTGCAAATTTTTTCTCTCAACCAATTCTTTCCAATGATCCAGCACAACACATCAATAAAAAGCTCTGAATTGACGCTGTTTCCCTATTTCATGCCCTGTTTAAGTTCCCTGGGGATGACAGATTAATTTAATTAGTTTTATTGAACTGTCTAGTTGCTTTTATTGGCAAATCTACTCATAGGAAGAAGGCTGCAAATTTCTCTTGAGGTTAGAATTGTCCTACTGGTCCATTTTTAAAATTAAAGTGAATTTACTGTCATTTATTATATAGTTTTCTGCTCTGCTTTCTGCTGGTAAGACTCACATTTGTAAAGTGCCTCCATTGACACCTATATACGAAGTTTAAAGTTGTTGTTTTTCTGAAACGTGGCTAACGAAAAAAGGAAGCAGACAGCTACTGCCAAATGGACTGTGAACTAAATACATCGTTCAGCTTTCACTGGGGAATTAAATTAATCTCATCACAACACAGAATACGGCTCTTGCATGCCACCTGGAAGCAGAGAAGTGGTCAGCCACTTTCCAACTTTCTCCGCTTGACAGCTTGCTCGGCACAGAAGCATCAAAACAACAGCACTGAGGCTATGAAATATATAACCAAGGTTCAGCTTGCTTAGAGATGGGTCTGATCAAAGTCCTCAGACTTCAACGCAGTGCCAGGCAGTGTGAGGTACATGAAATAGAGCAAAATTAATAGCAGTAATGGAATGAATTTAATCCCAGTGGTCAAATGCCCAGGAACAAACATGAATCTAAACTTGGGTTTGGCTAAGAACTTTGTTCGTGGCAGCATTTTTCTATGCAGCTGACTGATCCAGGATCCCATATTTTTAGAAGTGGGAGAGGAGTAATTTAAAATCTAGATTAAAAAATTGAACCTTGGACCATATTTTCTGTTTTTTTCTGTGTTTTTTGTAGAAGGTCAAAGGAGACATTTTATGCTCCACCGAATTCCCCAATCTTCCTCTGACCTGAGAAAAATTAGCAGATGTTGCCTTCTAATTTTGGACATCATAGTTCTCTCCACCAGATTTCAAACACTCTTCAAAAGATTTCAAAAATCCTCTTTCCCTGTGTGGCAATTTTTTTAATAAGTGGGGATTGGGTCTATTTCCATGACATTTTGTCCAAAGTTGCTCTAGGAAGGGTTTAGTTCTGAAGAGACCACTCATTGACCATATCTACAGAAATCTGTGTCATCGATTTCTTTGTAAATCCAATTCTTCTGAGGCTTCTTCAACTGCACAGTTAAGAAATCATTCCAAAGATTTTTCTCTGGACTTAAAAACATAGTAGACTTGTACAACCTCAAAGCAAATGCCAGTTAGCTGTTTTATTATCAGATTGTCCTTACACTCAAAGCTAAAAGAACAAACTAAGAAGACTAAACAAGTAACTTGGCGTAAGCATAAGGGGGTTCAGTGACTCTAAGAGCAGCACAAACAAATGTATTAAAATAAATTACTAATGAAATGATTCCTCTTACTTCTTTGCTTTGGATTTGCACAGGAGGTGGTCATTTGTTTCCAGATGCTGACAAGTTCTGCAAAGCTTTACAGCGAGCATGAGAAGTTTCATCTTTCTGGACCTGTGCTCTAATTACTAAATTATATTCCCATGGGTTCACCAGCCCTTTCACATATCTATTCATCTTATTAATATTATCCCTTTGACAAAAAAGCTCACTTTGGATGGCGTAAGTAGGAAAACTAAGAGACTTACAAGAACCTAGCCCTCAAGTGTCCATCCGTTACCAAATCAATAAAAAGGGTTAAATAATTATCCCATTATGGAGTGCTCCCATGCTTTTTAAATATTATGCATTTAAGATATATAGTCATGTCTGTTGGAGTATATATGTCTTAAATGCTGAGCTCAGATCAGAGTTTTTAAATGACATTTAAGTATGTTTATCCATGTCCCATCAGATCTGGTAGAAGTGAGGTAAAAGCCTTTCTATAGGATTTACTTGTCAAATAGTCTATGAACTCTCATTCTGTCAAAGCACCAAGCACATTTTAAAAAATAGAATCATTGGGTTTTTCAGGAATACTAAAATCAGAAAGATTAAATTCCTATATCAAAGATATAATTTTATGGCCCAACTAAGTGATAACATATCTGTGTGCTATTTGATCCATATACCTATCATTAAGTGAATTACACAGAATTTGGAAGGACAAGGACCTTATTCTGACTCCAAATCTTGTGCTACTTGTGCTTAGAGAACATCTTTCCAAATAACACAAGGAAGAACAGGAGCAGCTAAAGGTAATACCACACATTCAGATATAAAAAGACAACATTCTAAAAATGAGATTTTCTTGATTAAGTTATTAGCAATTCTTTAAAAGCCAGTGAAAGTCAGGAATGCAAAAATTCATTACTACTGCTTCCTGTACTTACAAAAATGAAACTATTCTGTCAGCAGAAGACCCTAATGTGCTCACAGGGGGTTACTCCAGGTTGACATTTATAGCCTCAAAGGGTTCTTTTTAGGTCGGCCAGAACAGTCAAGGATGCTTGGCTTTTTGTACTCAAAGTATATTCTTTTCAGTTTCACTGTGTGTAAATTTAACTCATGAATAAAAATTAAACATTAGTTAGCAAATCAGATTTTTATGAGATGCTTTCAAGAATAATGTAGAAACTCCTGGTGAACATATCCTTGCAATCCCAACTAGAGAGCTAGTACAAATTCTTGCACAAGTGAAAATCACCTTACGTAAATAAGGTACCCCATGAAATCAGTGGGATCCAATTAATGTCTGTCTTCTGTTTCCAATGTTATGGTAGTCACAAATCTATCCGATGGTGATGTTTTCTCAATGTATTTTTTTAAAGAGCTCCTATATAGTTACACACACAACTGAATGGGCTTGGTTATTTGTGTATACAAATAGATATTGCCATATCTAACCAAGCAGGACTGAAAATTCCGACATTAATGCTCATTGTACAAAGACTTAGTGTGTTGATCAACAGCATTATCAGTCCAAACTGAGAGAGCTAATCTGAAAATGGTCAGATTTTACTTGACAGTAACCAAAAATTTATCCCCACATTAAATATCTGAACTCATATATAAAAGTGAATATTTCTGGAATCTATTAGCAGTTAGTCTTATTAAGCTCACATTTGTTTTTTAAATAAATAAAAAAAAAATAAAGCCAAATGACTATACTTCAAATGAAAAATTAAGAAACTAAGAATGTGATATTTTATAAAGTGTTTTGCACTGTTCTGATGCTAAAATGCCTTGTGCTTTAAGTGGAATTTCTGCAGGTCATTAGCTTATAATGCCAACCAGCACCTTTGGGTATTTTTAAAGGAAAATGAAGGTGGGAGGAAAACAAGCTGAGCTGTTTTGCTTATACCAGCACAGGAAACTGCATTTCTAAGCATTTGGTTCAGCTAAAGCTCTACCTTTTATACAGTTTTAGTGGCAGATGCTATAGTGACAATGAAAGTGACTGAAATACACGCTGAGGCTTTTTGCAAGTAGCATCATGATATGCAGCATGCTTCTAAGATAGAAGCTATCCCCAGTGTATCAATCATACATAAAGAAGACCAGAACCTAATTTTCAATCCTCTTATCTCATTCCCCAGTGTCTCCTTTCTTGTCTATTTTTTGTTGGGAGGAGAGGCAGAAGGTTGCCACAAGATTATTTCTATGGCAGCTTCGACTCCCCCACTGGTTTTCTGCTCAATGCCTGTGACTGACGCTTAGTTCTGCCTGAAGGACAAGGACAGGACAGACTTCTGAGTGCCAATCAATGGAGCATGCCACATGCTGTAATTGAAAAATACAGTGCTTCTGCAATAATATGAGGACGTCATTTTTAGTGCAAAGCTGTGGTAGAGAATTGTAAGTGAGTAATATGTAGCTTGCATTTATTTTTATGGCACTTGATTTAACATGGCCAAAAGAAATGAACCTGAGCCACAGAATTTGGATCCAGCTCTGAACTGCCTGTAATTCAGCAATGCTCAGATCAAGGTTAAGCCCCACCTTCTTCTTCATCTGCAGACCATGTGACTTGTTTAGTCTAATCATCCTAACGTGATGTTCTGATGGGCCTTCATCCAAGCTATCTGTTAGCTTGGTGCACATGGCAGCATAGCACAATTTAATGTTAGTAAACCTGTGAAAGTATCCAAACTGCACACCCCTAATCTTAGGTCATCTCACACTATTAAGTACTTTCCTTAGCCTCGTCTTTTATGGAAACTTCTCTAGCAGAACAATGCAGGATGTACTTAGGAAAAACCTATCCTTCCAAATAGTGCATGCTCCCCCACCTCCCTAAAGAGAAGAAAACATGGTTAACCACCTGTAGAGACCTACCTTAGCAGTCTATGAAACAAGCAAGGGAAGTTGTCCTTAGGGATCCCACTGCTGACAGGAGAAACAAAAGCATCACAGGGATTTGCCTAAGGTCACAAAGCAAGAGAGTAGCAGAACAACACCAAATACTGCTGCTTCTCTTTTTACTGTCCCTTCTGGCTGCAATTTCTAATGGGAGATTTGGGAAATTACATACCTTTCAAAAGATAAGTGAATGTATTTAGAAATTCTTCATATGACTGCTCATGGCTATTAATAAATTGATCAAGGATACTGTTGTTTAACAGTTGTTCTCCCATGATCCACACCTTGACACTCGAACAGGTATATCTGCTTTAGCAGGCTGCCTCTGCAATAGAAAGAAAAGAGCCATATGGATCTGTAGGCAGAAAACAAATTAACTGAAGAGTCTCTAGTTCACATAGATGAGAACCAGAATGTCAAATTTTTCTTCTTTCCTTGTGAAGTTCTGATCTTGTCAGTGTGACTTTACACAACATTTCTCCCAAAATCCAAGTGGACAAAGCAATTTTAAGCGCAAAGGGAGAGACTGTGATCATCTATGCCTGAAATTTATATCCTTGGGTTATACAGGCCACAGAAATGTCAGCCTCTCTCGGTGGTGTTCATTCCCCCTCATTTTAAGATGTTCCATCTTACAAGCCCTGCCTTCTTTGCAGAAACAGCGACACTACTCACTAGCGCGTTGGGTTCAGCAACTGGGACACCTGTACATTCAAAACTTGGACTGAATCCATCATTCTGCAGGTGCACTGCTCACTGTACCATCAAAGCCACCAAAGCCAGATTGTGGAGGGCACATTAAATCACAATGGTGTGTGCGTGTATGCTGAGATGGCACACAGGACAGGGAGGGAATGAACTGGGCAGCCACGCAGAAAGGCGAGGACCACTCTCGAGAAGGAAACAAAAGCTGAGAGCTGAAGGAACCCCACAGAGGCTTTTCTGGACTTGAAAGCTCTACTCGAGTCACACAGCAACATCTTTCCAGCCCATCTTAATCATTTTACCTGACTCTGAGGGATGTGATGGACCTGAAACAGCTCTCAGTGAAGTATGCTGAAGTTAACCTTGCCACTCACGTACAAAAGCTGTGTAAATGCACTTTAACAGCTGCGTGATGCTAAATAGTTAATATTACTAATTTTTTATACACATAGGGCCGGACTACTAAAAGGAGAAAAACACAGGCAAGGGCGTGGGGACACACAACCGGCACATTGTCTCACACAGTGGTAACTTAACTAAAAAGCGCAAATGATCAGTTTGCATACATAAATGTGATAAAGATGCAAGAATGCATTATACACTAAGTGCTCGATTTTCATGTGTGCCCATGTTTCTTCTCTTGATTTACCACAGCATTAAGAAGTGGCTTTTGGGAATGAGAGCTTAATTCTTCAGCAAAACTTCAAATCAACTGCACTAAGGAAAGGCTGACAACCTGATTTTAAAGTTAAATAAGATTGAACAAGAATTGTTCAGAGCCCAGCAGGAAAACAAAGCATGATTTCTAATGTAAAACTCTAATTTTGTTGGATTGCCAACTTGTAAAGGAGACTAATGTTCTAAAGATATAAAAACACATGCACACCCACATGACCTAAAGGTTAAGTTTCCTCTCTGTGGACTGACCAAGCAGGATATAATTTATGAGACTCTCAGAGTGGTATATGTAAATTACAGCGGTTTCAGAGGGAAGCAGTGCCTTCTATTCCTCATTATTGTTCAGTTATTACAGTCATTATTTGAGGTAAATTTCATTATATGAAAGACTGCAGTGATTTGTAAGGCTAGTGTCAAAGACAAAAAAAATTATACATATATTTAATCAAGAAAATGGTAATAACAACCTTTTGTTTTTCTTTGGCATCTGGCATCTAGGATCCCCAAGTCCTTTATAAACACTAATGAAATAAACTTCACAATAGTCTCATGAGAAACAACAAACAAATATTATTCCCAATAAAAGATGAAAAAACTGAGTCACCAAGAGTTTAAATGACATATAAACAAATCAGAGGAGGACTGGAAGTAAAGCTTAGATTCCTTTAGTCTAACATGCTCTGGGAAGCTAGAAAACCAAAAAAACAATTTGGGGGAATTGCTGTATTCTTAACCAAGGTGAATGGCAGCTTTCTTAGTGAATGTCTTGTTCTACTGCCACCAGGTCATCAGCCTGAGATTAACCATCCAGACAAAGTGTTATCAAAACGCCACAGGTCAACTCTTGCTCTGCTGTGCAGCCTCTACTCCCCACAGAACTTGGGAAACTTCACTTCAGATTGTAACATATTCTACTGGTTAAACTGTAGATGAGCAACAGTGAAACAAGACCTTGGATAAACACCAAGCTCTCACTCATTAATGTCAGCTGGGAAACGGAGTGCTGAATTCAACTTGACACAAGTTTTAGCCAAACTACAATTGCAAAATCCTGAACATCAGCCTCAAGAAAAAGCAAGCACTAGCACTGCTGCTGTTAGAATATAATCTAAGATTTAATACCTGAAATCTCCTGATGTGTGGAGATTAGGAAGCTATCCCTAAAGATTTTAAACATAGATTTCACTGAGCCTACATATTTTCATCTAGCATGCACTTCAATATGTATGCACAGGGAGAAGCATCATCAAAACAGTATTATTTAAAAAAAAAAAAAAAAAAAAAAAAAGACAAAATGCCCTGGCTATTCCAAGCATGGAAAAAGATTACTTTCTGAAGACTTAACAGCTTTTTTTACCAGAAAATGGACCAAATTTTTACCCAAGTCAAAGCAGTAAAACCAAAGTAGCTCTCTTATAGCCAATATAGTTATTACAGGCATTAGTATATGAGATCTGCTATGTCAGAGGTATTCATCTTTGGTTAAGAAAATCAAAAAACTTCTAATTCATAGGCCACATTGTCTTATTTTTTCTTCTGAAAAAAAAAAAAAACACACACAAAAAAAAAAAAAAAAAAAAAAAAACAAACACAAAGAATATATTTTGGAACATGAGTTCACTAAACTATTCATATTTTAATAAATCCTAAATTGGAAAAGAGGGGGGAAAACCTAATGTGTCATTTTGGCATCCATCCCCCATTGCTTTTCATAAGAACTTCACAGTTTTGCTTCAAAAAATCTTAAAGCAAGAAATAAAATGCAAAATGGACTACAGAGGTGATAGTCCAACACCAACCTAATCTTCTTTTGCACAGCTGTTATTTACGTCTACAGAATCATCTCCTCATGGAGAGGAATAACCTCCTAGGTCCTAATGAAAGTCTCAGTTCTGTCAGAACAGCCATTCACTCAGACAATGGAGAGACAAGACTGGCAGCTAGAACTACCTGTCCCCTCCTGTTTTCAATTACTTTGAAGAACTGCAGGGTGCTATTGCCTCACTCTAAATGAAAGCAAGCACAGAGGATGGTATTTGGAGAATGTCTACGATCCTTAAAATTGAACATATGGATGATTAGGATGAATGGATGGTACAGTAGGGGTGTTCAGAAACTTGCCTCAACCTATCAAGGGTTTTGTATTTTTCATTTTCATTCCACTTTGGTTTTCTGATGCTTTCCACCTACTTTATTCCTGAGTCTCTCTGAAACAAACACCATACTGTGTCAGCTGCACAGAAGTGTTGTGATGTGAACAGCTGAAACCAGGCTGACCAGGAGACTCTCACCTTTGCTAAGGAGCTAACTGGTAGATTCTACATAAGTAAAAGGCTTCAGCAATCATCCAATTCACAGCCTCGAGGCAATGACTTCTTTGAACTGTCAGGAAAAAATGAAAAAAATGTACAATAATGAATTGGAATCACCCACAATTTATGAACTGGATGCAATCACACCTCTACAAATGAAATGACTGCATTGTTCTACCTGAGAGTAACTACTACTGAAATCAAAAACTTATCTTCTTTTCCCCAAAAGACATCAAATTAATTTGGAGGTTTCAAGGAAAGTAAGGCAAGGATAGCTGATCCTTTCCCCATGCTGGCTCTGGATAGTTTTACAGTCAAATATCAGTAAGTGATGCATTCAAGCAGCAACTATACTTTCTTCTTTTTGCATTTCACTCCTGCTCATCCATTCAAATTACTGTAATGAGGTTTCTTGAGATCATTCAGTAAGCCTTGCTGATCATCAGCAGATTGTGCAAAATCAATTTTATTTCTCAAAATGCAGTCTTCTTCCCAGCAGTTTAAGCCAAACCAGGAATCTCTGCGTTGAATCACAGAGGCAGGTCAAGTGGAGTATTAGCATGATTTCAATTACACAGTTATTAGTTCTAATAAACAACAAAAAATGTGGTGGAACACAGGCTTCCTGTTTTATGCTGCATTTTTGAGTCCTTTATTATGTTTCTTTTAAATATAATATAGGTAACAAAAGAAAAATCAGGATTCTGAACTTTTAAATGGAAAGAGCAATAAGCTAATCCTCTCTACAAACTCACTAAAAGCTTACATAATTTTATTTTCCTGGGAAAAAAAAAAAAAAAAAACAAAACTTCACTTCTGGCATAAGTTAAAGTCAGGTTTCCACACTAGGAATTTGTACTCCCAAAGTCATTCTCAATAAAAAAGGGAAATTCAGAAATGTGTATTTAGAGATCACTCATAGGTTCATGGAAAAACTCACTACGTACACCTGTTCTCAGTATTTTATGACCTTTGTCTGCAAAAATCAGATGGAACACATATACATTATTTTTACATCTTACACTCTTACCACTGGACAATGGCTGATCTTTTTTCCCTATAGAGCTAGCACAGTAACTACATCTGTCACAACTAACTTTTTTCAACGGGGTCTTTAATACTTCAGGTCTAACGAACCTCTCATAAAAGCAATCCTACTCCTAACAACCCCCAGTACAGAACTAAGCAACAAGCATTTCTGTAATGCCTCTCATCCATAAAGGTTTTACACTCCAGTCTGCACTAAAGACCTTGACTCTGGGGGACTCTCTTCTCCCGGCTAATTCAGCAACATGAAAGCTGTCACTAGCAATGGGGTGGGCTGGTAGAGGCAGCACAGAAATGAGCTCTGCAGGTTGACCACTCGTGTATGTAGGCAGTACTGCAGGCGTGTAGGCAAGCCTTAACGGTGCAGTAAAATGGCCGGGGAGCAAGTACAGAACCAGAGATGGTTACTGCCTCCCAAGGACAATGAGAAAGCACACTGTGATTCAGGACATTAGAGTCTCCCTCCAACCTGTTCCAGGAGCTACGCAACTCTTAGAAAGAAAGGTCACATCCCAATCTGCCCTCCAGGCAGCAGTACTGGAGAAGTCACCCCTTGTAATACCTGTGCCCGTGTATTTGTGTA